GGGGGCCCCCCCGGGGGTGGGGGCCCCCGCCCCCCCCCCCCCTCAGCCCAGCAGGGCCAGAGCCTCTCAGCCTCCCCATGCCAGGGGAGAGTGGGGCCTCGCCTCCCCAAGTGTGGCAGAGGCCTGTCCTGTCCCATCCCCACGCCCCAGCTCTGCCAGCCAGAGCTCTGGGGAGAGCAATGTGAACACGGGGTGGGCTTTGGTTAAAATGACGGCTGTCCCAGGGAGCCCCCAGTCCCAGGGTCATGCCCACCCCAGCGAGGTTGCAGCCTGGCAGTCCTCCCTGCATGAGCCTAGCAGAGACTCCAGGTCATGGGGATTACACAGATGGGGTACATGCAAGCTCATTTTTCCTTTGTCCCCTGCTCCTCTCACCTCTCTGATCCACCCAGGGCTCCTGAGGCTGCAGCAGGGATGGGCACTGCTCCAGATCACCCCCAAACACCCTTCTGAAGGTCCAGCCTGGCTTCCATTTGATGCCCTCTGCTGCTTCCCCTCTTCCCAGGGACTAAGCCAGGGCTCCTGCCCATCCTCCAGCACTTGATCATGCTGCCAGCAGCCCCCTGCCCAAAGCCATCTCCTGGATGGAATTCACCCCACACACATGCAGACGGTGCAAGGCTCTGATTTTTTTGCAATCTCCACCTTCTCTCAGATCCACAGCACACATGGGCTCCAGAGGCTCCTGCTGGGAGGGCTGTCCCCGTGCTCCTGAAGAGAGCCCCAGGTCCCCATCCATGGGACAGCCATGTCTCTTAGCCCCAGGAGCCATGGCAACAGCCAGTTCCCTGCCAGCCACAGATTTCTTGGGGTCTGGCTTGCCCTAAAGCGGTGGAAGGGCAAGTCCAGGCCTCCCCAAGCTGTCTGAAGTGGGGCTGGCCCCACAGAGCTGGTGCCCAGCAAGTCTTGGCCTCTCCTGGGGCTTTTAACACAGCCCCGGCACGGGAGCTACACCCTGGCTGAGAGGTGGGTCACCCTCTCCTTCCACAGCCTGACGTGTTCCCGTCCCCATTCACCCTCACAGCCTGCACAGCCCTGCCGCAACCCAGGCAGCCCCGCGCTGCTGAGTGCAGCCTCTCTGCTGCCAGGGGCCTCATCCAGCACCAAGAGGGTGGGGGGAAGAACAGCACAGCACCTCCGATCCTCCGCACAAGCCTCCTCTGCGCTCTCAGTGACAATAAATACTAATAAATACAAATTCTTCCACACATTTTGCTCCCAACCCTGGGACCAGTGTGGGCAGCCTTGCCCAGAGTCCCCAGCCCAACTCTTCACTCCCCCCCAGCTCCAGCCACATCTCCGAGCTGGGAGCAGCACTGGCACTGGCAAAAGGCATGTCCCTGGAGCTCTGGGGAGCTCTGGGGATGCTCCCCAGCCCCTGCCCCTCCTGGTGAAGCCCTCTTGGTGATCTCAGCCCTGCTGCAGGGCACAGGCATGGTGTTTGTGCTGCTCAGGAGGACGGGGGCACACAGGGAGGGCGATACTTCAAGGTGGTGCTTGCTTGCTGGCCCTTTACTCATCTCTCCCCGAGATGCTGGGCTGGAGGCTCCCCAGTGGCTCCGGGGGATGGAGAAGGTCAGGCTCGGGGCGAGTAGCAGGGGTTCCTCGGCATCTCTGTAAAAGATTTCAGTTCATAGGGGATTCCTGAGTCGACCTCGATCGACTTGCGGGAGAAAAGCAGCCGGATGTCATCGTGAAGGTAGATCTTCCCCGACTTGGAGCTGTGAAACCTGAGTGGAGACAAGAGCAGGGCAGAGGGACCTCAGGCTCCCAGGCAAGGGCAGGACAGCCTCGGCGGGGGGCATGACAGCCTCGGCGGGGGGCACGACCCCCTCGCCTACTTTGGCCCCTGGTCAAGGTGGCCATGCTCTGGTTGCCTTCAGAGGGACAGAGACTTCTGCCCTCAGGCAGGGCGGCCGCTCCG